CCACAACGCCTGGCCATTTTTTGGTTGCAGCGATCATTGTTGTTTGGCGGGCCCGGGCTGGGGATTCGAACCCGCCACGTTAGGTGTATGTGGCTGGCGCCTTAGCCGCTTGAGCCACAGGCGCCGAGCCCAGAATGCAAGTTTCTTCATGGTAAAAGACAAAAGAAGAAAATATTTTAACAGGGGTGCCAAACCCAGAGTGAGATTCATAACATACAAAGACACTTCTCCAACATTAAAAGACAGGTTAACTAGATGGGAAAATGGGCTAAGGCTGTAAACAGACCAGTTAGTTTATAAACCTGTGAAGAGAGGCTCAACTTCATTAGAGAAATACAAATCAAAACAACAAAGCAGTACCAATTTTCATCAATGATACTAGTAAGTAAAATAAAATAAAAGACTGATAATTTTTATTGTTGACAAGGCTGCAGAGAAACAGGCACTCTCACATACTCTTTTATTGTTTGTTTGAGACAGAGTCCCACTCTGTTACCCAGGCTAGAGTGCAATGATGTCATCATAGCTCACTGCAACCTCCAATTCCTGGGTTCAAGTGACTCTTCTGCCTCACTCTCTCAAGTAGCTGAGACTACAGGTATGTGCCACTACACCTGGCTATTTTTTTTTAAATTTTTTTTTGTAGAGAAAGGGTCTTGCTATGTTGCTCAGGCTGGTCTCCAACTCCTGGCCTCAAGTGATCCTCCTGCCTTGGCCTCCCACAGTGCTCAGATTACAGATGTGAGCCACCACGCCCAGCCCTCTCATATACTCTCAATGGAGGCATAGATTTATAAAGAATTTCTGGTGGACAATTTTATAGTCTACTGAAAATTTAAATGTTCATACCCTGTGGTCCAACGATACCATTTTTAGGGACCTAATCTACAGAAATAATCACACAAGTGGCAGAGACCTATCAAAAGGGTGTTCATGGCACTGTTGTCTGTAATAGAGAAAAATTGAGATGATTTAAGAATTCACCAATAGGAGAATGTTTAAATAAACTAAGGAACATGCGTTCTATGCAATACTAGGGAACCTTAAAATGGATAAGATGTATATAGGTATAAGTGGACATAGTGACAGAAAGAGATGATAAAGATGTGTCTTAAAGGGAAAAAGAGCAAATTATAGAACAATTTGTATAGTATGATTATACTGCAATCATTTTTTCAAAAATGCTCATGTATGTGCATGTGTATGTGTAAACATATAGGAAAAAGATCTGGGAGAAATGAGAAACTCTCGTTGCTTGTGAACCTAGGCATGGGAATACAAGTGTGGGTGAACGAATGGGGACATTTTTCCCCCTCTGTATACTTCTTTGTTGTTTGAAATCCTTTTGTAATCAAAATGAGTTACTTTTATAATGTTTTAGTTAAAAATGAGGGATAAATCAGATAACATGTATTTCTGAATGTTCCAGAGGAAGAAGCCTTGGGGCAGAAACATTATCTGTTACATTACAATCATTGAACGTTCCCAGAGAAGAACATTATTTGTTACACTACAATCACTAAACATTCCCAAGGAAGAATCCTTGGGGCAGTAACATTATTTGTTACACTACAATCACACTGTGCCACTGTGTGGGGTGATGAGAACAGCTTCTAACGCCTGCTATGTGACCTTGAGAAAAACACATTGTCAAGCTTCAGTTTTCTTATATTGAAAGTGGAGATAATACCTACCTCATTTATTTTATTTGCAAAGATGAAATGGAAAAGCATTTTTATAATTATAAAGTTGTATATACATGCAAAGGATGGGCCAGGTGCAGTGGCTCCTGCCTGCAATCCTAGCACTGTGGGAGGCCGAGGTGGGAGGATCCCTTGAGCTCAGGAGTTGGAGACCAGCCTAAGCAAGAGCGAGACCCCATCTCTACTAAAAATAGGGGGAAAAATTAACCCAGTGTTGTGGTGGGCACCTGTAGTCTCAGCTATTCAGCAGGCTGAGGCAAGAGGATCACTTGAGCCCAGGAGTCTGAGGTTGCTGTGAGCTGGGCCGACACCACAGCACTCAAGCCCAGGCAATATGTCTCAAAAAATGATTGAAAAAAAAAAAAAAACAACACCCTAGAATTATATTTTTAAAAATGCAAATGATGTTTAATATTTCATGTACCAGTTTAATGGCCCACTTTTAAAAAGCAAAACTTAATAACATCAAAATTCACTTCCAAGAAGAAATTCAGATGATCTCTTAGCATTTGTTTTAACAGAATGCTTCCTTTCCTGCTTAGGTCTTCTATAACAGCAGTGTAGGTGTTTTACTTAAATGTTGCACAGTTTTTGTGTTTGTGTGAAAGATTCTGGTGCAGATGGCTTTTAGCAAAACCCTTACTTCATACCCTCCACCCACCCATCTTAGGACCAAATAGCTTGGACATATGGAACTAATTAGCAAGGTCTAATTAGCAAGCTTGCCTGGTATGCCCCTCTGAGTAGATGGCCAGGTATTTGGGTTTGTCCGTGAATGTCACAGTTTCTGTTCTTGGTCCCATGTAATTGTCCTTTTCACTGTCAAAAGTGTTCTAGTTTTAATGATTGAGTATATGGCCATTCTACTATGGTCATCTATGGGGCATGAAAGGAGACACAGGGAGTCCTTGCTTCCAAACACAAGACATACAATTTTTTTCCCCCATGGTTCCTCCCCACCACTGGAAATGTCAGTATTACTTGCAGGGAAGCTATGGGGAAACAGTGGGTCTTTCAGAGACTTGGTGGACTTAGAGGCCAAGGGAGGATCAAGGCTTAGAAGAGCTGGTATGGGTCTTCAGAAGGCCACTCTTCAAATTGTCCTCTTCTGCAAAAATTCCTCCCTCAGACCACTTCTATTTATTGTATATCCTAGTGCTCCTGGTCAAAGATTTATTTGGGGAAAACAAACATTCTATTTTCAATAGTGCCAATAGGTTGGGTAATGTTCATAAAATTGATTTTTCTGCTTGCATAGAGGAAGGGGAGTATTTCTGAGAGGAATAAGGATGAAAAGGATAGGGTAATTTTGGAGTATGGGACATCCTGGGGAGTGAGACTCTCCCTTAGGGCAAACTAGAGACAAAGGGAGCCATGAAGTTTGAGGGCAGAGAGGAAGGTGGGTGTCAAAGCCATGCAATAGTCATTTGTGGGAAAATGTTAACTTGTGCACAAGTCATGTCTTGGGGAAAAAAAGGCACACATTCTTTCTCGGCCATCTACATCTCCTTCTCTATCCTACATGGCCCAGCACCCAGAATCCAAGCCAGTAGTATACTATGTACTAGTTAAGTCTGGGAATGAGACTTCTAATATGGCATTGCTTCTGCAGGAGTGTGTGTTCTTGGGTCCAGTCAATGAGTTTACCAGCACATATGGGGACGTACCCTTTCGTAAGGCAAGAACTGCCTACATAAGACCTGGTCCCTGGCCTGGGAGACATGAGCATGTAAGTCATTTTATTGCCAGTTTTGGTGGAAGGTAGTAACAACTACCAGTGCTTCCGAAAAGAGTGACATGTCCAGAGTTTGTGCACATAGAAATGAATGTTTTCTTCGCTTCATAACCCCCATGAAATTCCTGTAAACCCCATCTCCCCCAGTAACCTTATAGCATTAATTTACTAACCTAATTTGTAAAAGGAGGTTAGTGAATCAGCGCTGTAAGACTTTCATGGAAATATCTGAAATTAATTAGCCTTGTCAGCTTTTATTTGCATAGGTTCTCTTTCAACGGTATCTCCTCCCCCCCAGTACAACGTTTTAATAAGATTGATTTTAAACAATGAGACTCAGAGAATCTGTGTACAAAGAGCTTTAAGAATTTAAATACGTGGGTTTATTATTAACACAATAGCAAATATATCAAGGAAACACGCCCCGTGAAAAGTGTTTCAAAGAAACACAAATCTGCCCTGAGAAAGCTCTGTACCCAATAAGTAAGCCCGAAGAGGCATGTTTGCTAGCTGATGCCCAGCAGATAAGCCTAGCAAACTTCGGTGTGATTGAAGAAGCCAGTTGGAGTCTGAGCCTCGTCCAGGCAAGCTGCTGGGACCTGCTGCTCTCAACAAACCTTGACGCAATGGTGTTCGCATTTTGGAAGGTCCTTCTGATCCTAAACTGCCTTGTAGGTAAGGAAAGGATCTCCACACCACCATAGATAATTGGAATTGGAGTTGCCTTTTAAACTAAGATTGCATATTTTTACGCAGGATTTTTCCCTCCTGTCCTTCAAAGGAACTGTGATGAGTGTGCTCATGGTTAGAGCTCTTGCTTAGCAAGTATGTGCCATGCCCATGGATATTTGGGGGGGCAACCTATAATTATTTTATGGAGCTGCTGAATTTAAAATTTTCTTTCAGAAAAAAAGGACAATATCTTTCTTTACTTAGCTTGACAACGAACAAATGAATTTACTCAGAAACTGAAGTTTGTGCTAAGGTTCCTTTTTTCCCCTCTGTTTTACCTTATTGTTTCTTTTAAGGTCAGTGTGATTGTCTTGCTTTGCTACGGCAGGCAGAGCCCGGGCTGGAGGACCTGCCGTAGCTTACGCCTGGGAAGAGCAGAGGCTTAATGAATGCTTTACTATCTAATATTTCTTAGGGAGTTGTGGTTTTCCGATCTGAAGGCTGTGTTTTGGAAAACTGTGAGTGATTTACTGCTGTGCACAATATAGGCAATTTTAGGCATTCAAGCTGAATGACCAAAATCATTTTAGAGTCAAAATGCTGACGTTGGTTAGACCTGGGAAATATCACTAATTCAGAAAACTCCTCAGCTACTCTTTTTCAAATACCAGATACATTTTTGTATCTGTTCTTATGACAAGTTAGGTCCACAGCAGATACAATCACATTGTTTATCCAGAAAAGAAGATTTTTTTTTGAGACAGACTCTCACTTTGTCTTCCTTGGTAGAGTACTGTGGCATCATAGCCCATAGCAACCTCAAGCTCTTGGGGTCACCTGATCCTCTTGCCTCAGCCTCCCAAGTAGCTGGGGTACAGGTGCCCGCCATAAAGCCGGCTATTTTTTTAGAGGCGGAGTCTAGCTCTGGCTCAGTCCGGTCTCCACCTCCTAAACTCAAGCAATCCACCCACCTCTGCCTCCCAGAGGGCTGGATTGCAGGCATGAGCCAGCTCGCACGTCCCAGAAAAGAGGATTTTTTAAAAAAGTCTTCAATAATATTGGACAATCATTAGAATAAGACATCAGTGCCATAGAAAAATGCTCAGGGTAAATATTAAGTGAGAAAGCAGGATCCATACATACGCCTGGAATAAATTACCAGAAGGTTAAATACTGAAGTGCCCATGGTGATTATCTCTGAGTGACAGAATTATAAATAATTTGATTTTATCTTCCAACTTTTCTGTACTTTCCTGATTTTCTACAAAGAATGTTATACTATTTTTATACTGTTTTCATAATTAGAAACATGTTATTTTTCAAAACTATCTGATGCTTAGTAATAGTTCTCTAAATGTTATTGTTAAATATTTAAACATAGATGTTATATGGAGTTAAATGTCATTAGAAGGGAATACTACATTTATGCAGCTACATAACCAGGCCTTGGAGCTGGAAACACGTGCTACTATTTTCCCTTCCCTCTAGGAATGTTTATTTAAATTTAACTTTGAGCAGTAAAAGTGTTTGTCCTTTCTTTTTCTTTTTTTTTAATTGTTTGGGATTCATTGAGAATACAAAGAATTAGGTTACGGACTTCGGACTTCGGTTGTTAGGTAAAGTCCCTTTTGTAATTGTGTCCCACCCCCAAGGGGTGTGCCCTATACCATAACCCCCATCCCCCTTCCTCCTCCCTTCTCCCTGATCCCTCATTCCCCTACCCCCACCCTCCACTTGTATTAGATCACCTATTGCCTCCATATCAGAAGTGAGTACGTTGGATTCCTGCTTCTCCATTTTTTTTTTTTTTGAGACAGTCTCACCTTGTCACCCTGGATCATCGTGTCATAGCTCACAGCAACCTCAAACTCTTGGGCTTAAGCCATGATCTTGCCTCAGCCTCCAGAGTAGCTGGGACTACAGGCACCCACCGCAATGCCCACCTTTTTTTTTTTTTTAGAGACGGGGTCACTCTTGCTCAGGCTGGTCTCAAACTCATGAGCTCAGGCAATCCACTTGTCTCCCCCTCCCAAGTGCTGGGATTACAGACATGAGCCACTGCCCCTGGCTGCTTCTCCATTTTTGAGATGCTTTACTAAGAAGAATGTGTTCCACCTCCATCCAGGTTAATACAAAAGATGTAAAGTCTCCATCTTTTTGAATGGCTGAATAGTATTCCCTGGTATACATATGTGATGGCATGTTGTTCCATTCCTGGGTTGGTGGGCTTTTAGGCTGTTTCCACGTTTTGGCAATTGTAAATTGAGCTGCGATAAATAGTCTTTTTTATCTTTTCTTAAAGGACTTCTGGTCACTAGCCACTTGGGTCTGCCCCTAGGCCTTCTGCATGAAGGCGTCCAAGATCATATCATCTGCTTCCCTGTATGTGGCCTTACACTGGCCTATACTAGACACGGGGTCTATTATATACATGTAATGTATGGCCAGTGTATAAAGGTTAGAAAACAGGGAAATGTATAATAAGGAAATAGAAATCACCTGCAATGGTACCACTCAAATTGCGGTGAATTATTTTCTTCCAAAGCGTACACATTATATTAAAATTGTGTTTATACCTTGTGTCCAATTTTTTAAATTGTTTTAAAAATTAGTCAGCATGATATCAGGTCTTACTTGATTGTGACTTTTAGAACAGGGTCCAATCATAGTGACCAATAAATACTTCCAGGCTTTTTGTTGTTGTTGTTCAGCAGGCTCAGGCCGGGTTCCAACCCACGAGCCCTGGAGCATGTGGCCGGCACCCTAACCACTGAGCTACGGGCACCCTGCCTGAGCTTTTTTTTTTTTCTTAAACTACTATACAACTGGTTTTGTTGGTATATAGTCCAAGTTGTATATCTATACATATGTGATCTAGCTGGCCCAAAGAAAAAAAAATAGTAGTGTCAGTCCAGCAAATGGAATAGAAATGTGTAGTATGTTATTGTTTGCTGTGCTTACACATATTTGAAAGTCAAAGAAAGGAAGATTTCGGTAATTGATAACTGGCATTGGCAGTGTCCCTTAGTTGATCCAGCAATGGCTGTGGAACAACTGATAATATTTTCATCAATAGGCAAGTTGATGCATTACTAGGACTTATTTCAGAGAGAATGTCACTTTTTGGTGTCAAGCATGGTGCCTGGCACATAGTGGGTGCATGGTATATGTTTGTTGACAGAAGAAATGATTTTCTTTTTCTTTTCTTTTTTTTTTTTTTTGCAGTTTTTGGCCGGGGCTGGGTTTGAGCCCGCCACCTCCGGCATATGGGGCTGGCACCCCACTTCTTTGAGCCACAGGCGCCGCCCAAGAAATGATTTTCGTATACATATTTAACATCTATTTTCTGGACACCTAAGCAAGACAGATTTTATCTTAATCAAACTATTTTCAATGCCTTCTTAAGAAGTCTTAAGGTAAATTTCAATTCAGGAAAATGAATTTTTTTTTTTTTTTTTTTTGAGACGGAGCCTCAAGCTGTCCCCCTGGGTAGAGTGCCATGGCATCACGCTCACAGCAACCTCCAACTCCTGGGCTCAAGCGAGTCTCCTGCCTCAGCCTCCCAAGTAGCTGGGACCACAGGCGCCCGCCACAATGCCCGGCCATTTTTTGGTTGCAGCCATCATTGTTGTTTGGCGGGCCCGGGCTGGGGATTCGAACCCGCCACCCTAGGTGTACGTGGCTGGCGCCTTAGCCGCTTGAGCCACAGGCGCCGAGCCTGGAAAATGAATTTTCATGAAAAATTTCTTGGGCAAAATATTCCTGCATATCACTTTAGGCACTTATAATATGTATTAGTTTCCTCTTGGACATGTATGTTAACACAGTTTTCATTTTCTGAAGATATGTGCTATGCATTGTAAAGCGGTAATATATTTGAATTTTGGTTTTGCAGTCAAATCTAAACAGCGAGTGATCATTTGGTTATACTATTGCTTAACTTAAAAGTGAAGCAATTATACATGAAGTTACTGGAAATCAAATCAGTTCAAATATTTAAGGTTAAAGATGGCTATTTGGGGGCAGTGCCTGTGGCTCAGTGAGAAAGATGCTGGCCCCGTATGCCGAGGGTGGCGGGTTCAAACCCGGCCCTGGCTGAACTGCAACAAAAAAATAGCAGGGTGTTAAAATGAGACTCTGTCTAAAAAAAAGGAGGGGAGGCTATTTGATTTGGTGGACATTTTTGTTCTAGTAAATTAGGAGAATAATAATCCTGCAGAAAGCAAAGTGCTTGCTGCATCATAACCATAATGAATGAGTGATCATTATCAAAACACAAGACATTTAAACATATTTTTAAAGTGTTGATTAATTTACAGGTATATAGCTTGGATTATTTTTCTTTCATAACAAACAGTGGTTTGTAAAAGAAGTCACACATATTTCAGTCCCATATGTATTTTTGCCTTGTTTTTAAATTCAGTGGAGTCCGTGAAGGAAATTGTAATCTTGGGTTTTGTTTAAATTGATACTAATCTTTACTCTGCCACTTGTTCACGGTCTTGGTAATGTATATTCTTGACTTTTTCAATTTTTAAATAATTTCTCAATTTAGAATGAATCAATCTAAAGAAGGGGAACTTTTTTTTAGTAGTTTTCTTTCTTTTTTTTTTTATTAAATCATCGCTGTGTACATCAATGCAGTCATGGGGTACAGTGTGCTGGTTTTACATACAATTTGAAATATTTTCACCAAACTGGTTAACATAGCCTTCATGGCATTTTCCTAGTTATTGTGTTAAGACATTTATATTCTACATTTAGAAAGAGTCACATGTACCCTTGTAAGATGGACCATAGGTGTGGTCCCACCAATCACCCTCCCTCTACCCATCCTCCTCCCTCCCCTCCCCTCCCTCTCCTTCTTCCCCATATTCTTGGGCTATAATTGGGCTATAGCTTTCATATGAAAGCTATAAGTTAGTTTCATAGTAGGGCTGAGTACATTGGATACTTTTTCTTCCATTCTTGAGAGACTTTGCTAAGAAGAATATTTTTCAGCG